TGGTATTAAGAAGAGCAGAGGGGTGAAGAATGGAACCAGTTAAGTAAAGGCTTTTCTGAAGAAGAAGGTTTTGAGTCTGGATTTGAAGGAGTTTAGAGAAGGTGGCTCTCTAATATCCTTGGGCAAAGAGTTCCAGAGCTTGTGGGCATAACAGGAGAAGGCTCTGTCGCCCATACAATGTAGACGGGCTTGGGGGACAGTAAGGAGGGCAGAATTTGAGGAGCAGAGGTTGCGAGGTGGGGAGTAGGGTGATAAAAGTTCAGACGGGTATTGAGGTGCCAAGCCATGTAAAGCCTTATAGGTGAGCATGAGGATTTTAAAGTCTACGCGGAATTTGACTGGAAGCCAGTGCAAGTCCTCTTTCCAAAGAAACACTGGTGTACCTGCAGATCTGTAGCCTGAAATCCAGCTGTTTGTCACCACTGGGCAGCCCAGTGCCAGGATGCATTCATTGGCTGCTCGAATCGACAAGCTGGTGCTACAGATTGGATTAGTCTATAACATGACAGGCAGGCGGCTCTTACAGTATGTCTGTCTAGAAATTGCTGTTTGTGTTTGCCCCTTCATTGTGGATCTTGCCCTCTTACAGCCGCTGCCAGAGATGTTAGGTCTTCTTTGAATATAGCTCCTAAAGCCTTCACTAAGGCAGCTGTTTAACGTGCTACGCGCCATTAGGAAATGTTGTGAGGGTCAGTTAATAATTGTGTTTTCAGATGCAGCAGGACTAGGGACGGCCTCTTTTCTTACACTGCGCAGAACCTCTCCCCCCCTCTTGTCCTCTGTCCCCGGCAGTGCTGAGCTGTGAGGCCGCCACTCAGACCGAAGCACGTCCAGAGCTGGCGACGGTCACCTTGCGCCGCGGCCGGCGGTACCAGGGGCCGCGGCGGCCCAGGCCCAGCTCCCTGGTCGATTATCAGAGCTACAGGGACACCAAGCAGCTGGTGGCCCAGTTCCTGGAGCACTCGCCCTGCAGCATGACCCCCGAGGTGCAGGAGGTGGTGAACAGCATCAAGACGGTGTTGAGGTCGGACCAGGAGCACATGGAGGAGGCGGTGCTGAGCGCCAGCTTCATTGACCAGGTCAGCGCCTGCGATTCCTCTGACTACTGAACCTTCTGCTCCGTCTGTCACAGTCAAATGTGATATCAGGCAGTTATACAACTGGAGACATGGTCTTCAAAATCGAATGGAAAAAATAAAGGAGGGGATTGTATAGTAGTTGCGGCTGGTGCAATTCAGCTGATTGTGCATCCTGGGTTAGTAGTGGCCTGGCTGCTCAAATGCAGAGTATCATCTACCCATTTTTCTTAATGGACACAGGTTTGTGCAGAATTATAATATATAACAAGAAATGTTTCTTTACAATATTAATATTTTAGGGGGGTATACTGTATTGTAAATATTGTAGTTGTTCCTCTTTCTGTGGTCAGAAATTTGGATTTTTTCTGTTGGTGTGTAAAAGCCCTGTCTTAGTGAACAACAGAAATGTCCTATCAGTGAAGAAAATCCCAGATATGAACCCTGGACTTTTAACTGGTTTAAGGAATCGGAATTCTTGTTAGTCTTAGAAAACATTAACATTTTGTCTCATTGACAACATGACACAAGACCAGAATTCTAGGAAGATACAAGAGACAAGTACAGGAAAAGGGAGATGGTATTTTTTTGATGATTTCTATATTTTTTACAGTACATCTAGTTATAAATGCATTCTGTGGTTCCCAGAGTGAATCACTTATTTGAGACATTGCCGCCCTTCTACAGAGGACTGTAAAGGGCGTTAAAGGGCCCTGTGATTCTCTTTCAGACTAACTCCGATTCCACAGTCTCACTGTGTCCTTCTCCACTAACTCGTGCCTGTCCTCAGACTTTGCGGGTGTGTCTCTGTGAACCCCCAGGTGATAACCGGCTCCCAGGCGCGTCGGCCGCAGCCCTCTCCTGAGAGGACTGTGCACACGTTGCCCTCGAGGAAGCGCCCGGGGCTGCTCCACCTGCACAGCTGCGGGGACCTCAGCACCTTCACGGCAGCCGAGCCCCAGCCCGCGGAGCGCAGGAGACCCAGGGCCGCGCAGGATCGTCCGCGCAGCCTCATCGGGGTCTTCAGAGAGACGGTGCTTTGAGCCCTCCACAGACATCCAGCGCACAGGAAACCAACCGTTGTTGGAACGTCACTAAAAGCCAGATGAAAAAACACCGCTTTCAGCCCTGCTGGCCTCAGTATAAAGTACAGCAGAGGAGGCCATCAGGGAGTGTGTGCAGTGTCCTGTGAGGATTGGCTTGGGCTTTTATCAGTGGTTTAGTTGTCTCACCTGTGTAAACTACTTTTAAAAACAACATGAAAACATGAAAGAAACATGAACGTTTTATCATAAGAAATTGGCAGAATTATGTTATTAAGGATAAGGGTTCATTCATTTTATGAATTTGGAACCTACAAATGTTTGTCCTTTCTGTAAGCTCTCCTATTGGGATTGTCCAGTGCTGGGCTCCTGGCTGACCACAACAACCCCTGCAGCAGCATGGGAAAGCCAAGGCAGACCACTGTCTCTCACCGAGCTGTTTTGTCACCCACAAGGTCGACGGTGCCTTACAGGAGAGTTAGCATGGATCGCCGGAGCAATGCTCCTCTCTCAGGGCCTGGCTAGTCCCAGTGAACCCTGCTGAGACAAGAATCCACTGTTCCGCTCCCCCCAACCCCTGTGACATCTGGCCAATTACTCACACACAGGTAACGTCTGAACGCCCTGCAAGTGATTGCTGGGTGTGGATACACTGTGCTATCCTCGTCTGTCCAAACATTTTGTATCCAGTTACAGACGCTGACTCACCTCTGGATTAGGTACAGATCTTCCGAATCTTATCCGGCTGAGGAACTCGATAAATTAGTGTAAAATTGACATGCCATACACTGAATGAAAAAAAGCAAAGGTTTAAAAAATACTGTGTTTTTCCCCAACAGTATAAGGAAGACGTCTCAGATGCCGTAGCCATTACAGTCAAGCGAGCTGGGCCAAGCTTTGATCTTTTCCTGCCAGTGCCTTTTAAATATTCAAATGTCGATCCGATGTACCTGCATCTCCACACTGTAAATAGCATCAGGGCTCATGTGGTGAGTTTCAGCACTTTTCTTTCAGTAGACTTCTCAAGGGCATGTGAGCTCCAGGGGCAGGAGACATCACACATTTAGTTTCCTGTCCATGCATGTTTAATGCCCCACGAGCAAGCCTGTTTCAATTCTTACATTCACTTCGTTAGCAATTATAAATGTCCTCTTAATGTTGTATTGTGCCAAATCTATATTTAATGACATTAACCAAAACTACAGAAGGGAATTAAGATTTGTATTCTTTTTAAAAAGCAGCTCCCCGTATATTCATATTAATAGTAGTTGCTTGCATTTGTATAGTGCTTCTTCATCCCCAAAGGGTATTCCCAAGCGCTACTGAAACCGGTGCTGTAAAAATACGTACTTCTTGCTCAGTGGAATAGTGTTCTGTATGTGCATCACAGATGAGACTCCCAAGTGTGCGTGTGTAGTTTTATGCAAAGAAAGTTCAACATCTGTGGTACTTTCATTAAAGTGCCTTATAAATCTTGCAACAATTAAAAAAAAAAAAAGACTGTGCCATTCTTTTGGAATTGGATGAGTATTTGTATATGACAAAATGGCTGGTAAATTTGTCTTGTTTTTCTAAATGAATGCACAGAATCATTGTTTTCCCCAAAATAATTATATGTGGCTTTGTTCTGAAAATAAACACCAAAACTATAAGAGGAAGTGCAGCTCATTGTCTGGATCTGGGCTTTTGCAGGGTTGTGATTTATTTTGTGTATAGTATTATACATGATAATTTACAAACTCAAGAGAGTTTTATAGTTCTGCCTAGCCTGATTGACATCACATGACTGTGGATCAAAAATGTCTTAGTTCCAGAACTACACTATAGTTTCAATAGTAGAGTAATTAGCAGTGGGATATTCTGTAACTGGCAACATTAACATTCAGTGCTTGTTCACACAGTAAAGTGCTGTTTTCCTCAGTGAGTCGGTGGACTAACAATAACTGCTGCTTATCTCAAACTCCTGGGCTCTAAGTAGTGGGTGAGTCTTATTACCTGTTAACAAATTATATGTAAGGGATTACTTTTTAATTTGTACTTTAGCTAGTATGTAACCTTTTAAAAGCAACTTCTCATACAAAGAAACCTGTAACTGTATGGATTACGGTTTTTAATTTTACAACCACACACACAAACACTGGTTGTAATGATGAAGGTTTTACTTAATCGTTATCAAAAAACTGCTGCAAAAATCCTTAAGAGTAAGCTTAGGCTATGGTAAAATAGTAGGAGGAGACCGTGACTTTCTATCATACACTGGTTCTCTTGTACAGTATATATCTACCTCAATATTCTGCAAGATATCTGTAATTAAATTTCATTGCTGCATTTCTGCATGAACATGTTGAGTTTCAGTATCATCGCAGAATCGATGTTCAGTGAGTGTCTTGTTTTATAGCAAAGAGAAGCAAAAAGGCAGTCCCATCCTTCTGCGAGTTGTTTATTGTTGTAAATAATGTTACAAACATTCTTGCTCTGGTAAAGGAATGTAGCTCAGTAATTGTAACATCACAGAAAAGCTAGCAAATAAATAAACATTGCTGTTGCTTTACAGAAAGTGTTTTTAGACGTTGACAAAGTTAATTACATTCAGAAGTGCATTATTAACACTAGAGTTGCCAAACTGACAGCCATCACCGTATTTGTTTTACAAGGGACAACTTTGTTACATTACAATACTCTACTTTCCCAAAGCTTTACAGAATTCCCTATTGCACCCCCGTTACTGAACAATGGTATAACTGTATATTCTAGCATTGCGCTAAATATATACATTAATTTCACACAATCGCCTTCTATTATTAAATAAACACAACCCATTTAATCAATGCACATCAGACTTGTTGAGGTCTGTCACTGCCTCTAATGACTGAAAAGCCAGTCTGGACTTTATATGTAACGGAGCCATACAAGTGCATCGGCTAACCAGCACTCTACTCCTGTGCTGGCTTTGGTTCATGTGAAGTGGTCATACTTGCACTTCAGCGAAACTGTTAAGCATGAGAGGTAAGCATGATGAGGAGTTCATATGCCATGCTGAACAAATATAGTTGCCACAATTTTTTTAATTAAAAAAAAAACATAAGGCCGATATGAATCTATATAGTAAAATCAACATAAAAAAACTATCAAGGAATAAAGTACTTCATAAACACTTGGTGCAGCAGAAGAGTTGGAACTGTCCGATTAAAGAGTTTTAAGTACACCTCTGCCCACGGTGTCACTCTCGGATATATTCTGAGGTGCAAATGCCACCACTGTAAACATTAATCAGGAGCACTTATTCTTAAATCAGTTTCAGTCTATGCTGATAGCAGGACTGGTACATTAACGTACGTACAAAACAAATAAGCACAGAGAGCCGGAAAAAGGTGGGTAGGTCTCATGACCAGCTAATCTAAAGAATGTAAATATTAATCAGCCTTGAATTCTCTGCACAGCCTGTAGTGCCACACATGGACTACTGTGCAGCCTTTTCCTTCTTCTAAGTACCTTATGTTTCTGAGCCAACTGCTGTCTAGTTTAAAAAAGTTCACAAAAGAAGTGTACATTTCCATGTGTAATATGCAAAAAATACTAAGCGCCATTGCATAGTTCTTATCAAGCAGGGGTGTCCAATCTTGGTCCTGGAGTGTCTTTGGATTTTCCGTTCGAATTCAGCTCTTAAAGAGCTAAACCAACTGGTTACTGGCTTAACTAGTGTCATTTACAGTAACTTATTCTCCCAGCTTTTCAGATGCTGCTGCTGCTGCTTCAAAGAGACCTACAACACAGTCATACTGGCCCTCCAGGCTCAGGACTGGACAACCCTGTAGTGAAGCAAAGTGAAAATAAACTACATTCTAAATTAAATTTGCTCTTGAGCTCTTAACCTGGACTGAACTACCCAAGGGGTTTCTCCTAAAAATCATCTCCCATTTTAGCTCCTTCAAGTCAAAAATGCTAATGCTACTGAGAAACAAATGTCATTAAGATTTTAAAAAATAATACTGTTATGCAGTGATTTAAATAGGAATGGTCTAGAAATTAAATATTGTGCCATCAGAACGGACTGCAAACATTTGCAAAATGAATTCAATCTGTTATGAACTTGAGAAATAACAGCCCTACAAGCAACATTCTGATGTAAAAACACAAAATTATTCTGCATATTGAATTAAAACTAAAAAAAAACAATTATTTTAAAATATCAGAGACCCTGCAGTGATGTCATTTCCGAAAATGACAAAATAATGCCAACAACATTCTGAAATTAAAGTTTTCCAGAATGAGAGAAATGAATCATTATTATATTCCGTTAATGACACTTTAGTATTACACCTTCAACTATATTAGGTTGCTTTTTAACTATGTGAAGGACTTGTAATGGTAAATGCAGTCCTTTCACGATTCACAGCTTTCTTTCACATTTCAGTGGGCAAACACTTCCAAGATGTAGAAATATCACAGCTGCTTCTTCATCTTCATTGTTTTTCCAAGTGTAAAAATGTAGAAAATCTTGTGATCTGCCCTGAAGAAAAAAATTGGCCAGTCATATTTGAATTGAGAATTAAACTGAGATTTAGCTTATTTCCATTTGTTTAAAAGGTTATTGCACTTCATGTTTCAAATTAAATTTAAAATTGTATATCAGTTGGTCAATATGGTCAGTAGAGTATAACACACTGGAGTTTGTAAAACAGTGTTCATTATTGTGTTTTATGAAGTTAATATCTCACTCTAACCCAGATGTGTCCCAGATATACCTGCATGCTAAATAGTTCTTTCAGTGGCTTAATATCCAAGTTTTCCTAAGGTTTATTTACTGAAACAACTGGACATTGCTTTCTTCATCGAGCTGTATCAGCAGTTCTCCATAAACCCTATCAGTAAAACATTGAAATTGCAAACTTAAGAACTGGCACAGTTTTATCCCTGTGTATTTATAGGCATTTATCTGCATCGTACATTAATTTGTTGAGTTTGTACAAGAAAGTCTTAAGATTGTTTCCTATTTGGGCAAAATGTTTAGGAAAAGCCCAAATAGTAACTGGAGGAAGGCTGAACTATTTTGATGTCTGCCATTATATTACTATTATTAGCAATTTATTGTTTACAGTACAGACTTGTTTTGGAAAGTGCAGAATTATCAAATGAGTAAAGGACTCCTTCATAGGGCCTTTAGGTTTAAAATTAATCTTGGTCCATTGTGATAAGAGCTGCCCTTTCAGTGTAAACAAAAAAAATAAATCTGGAATGATCTTTGATTGACAAAATTAATATATAGAAGAATAAAAAACGAAAAAGGAAAGGAAATCCCTTGTTCTTTTTGTGACACTTTTAGACCTGTAAATATTGTACGGCTCTTTCTGTACTGGATGTCCTCCTTAAAGTGAATACTATTGTGATGCCACGAAGAAGCCGGCAACTGGTTTTAGAGAAGTGCAAGGCTTCAGCTTGCTGAAAAAAAAAAATCAAACTTGCAATAGGTATTTCATCTCGCTGGATGGGTTTCACACCAAAATGCGCTGGTGATGAAGGATGCCTTAAATCTCACGAAAATGACACGCACACAAAAACACGTTGGGAAATGTTTCAGCAGACACAGAAATGCAGCACTATACACACAACCACAAGTGCAAAGAGTAGCCCTCCACAATGAGGAAGGCCCTCGGCATGTCAGCCTCAGATGTAAACCGGCTGTTCCTGGGCAGTCAGTAGTCTATACATGGCAGCGGGCATTGTCTTCATGTGTATCTGAAAGAAAAGAAGAAAACATGCATCAGGAAGAAGAGGGGGACTTTCTGCCAGGAACAACACTGATAACAACACAGCCTCAGCTTACTACAAGAGCGCCTGTCCCAAAATGTCCCAAACCTCTATTTTTGGATCCCTGTGTTTTGCAATCCTGTCTTTTGAGTTGCTATACGACGGCGTTCACAAGTGACCAGCCTATTTAAACAATGTTTAGTTTTTCTTCCAACACCAGCTTCTGATGTGTTTTCAGATATCCAGTGAAGTGGAAGAATCTAAAACAATCTGTGAACATGGCTCAGTATACAGCAACTGCCAATAAATGCTGCTGGAATTTGATTTGGGTTGCTTACGCTAAAGGTCCTCTCATAAAAATGCTGATGGCCATAGTCCTGTTATTAAGGAACAGCAGCTACTGCTGTAGTCTGGATTGATGCAGTATATTGTAACTTTAATTGGCTTAAATATGTATACGTTGTACACTATAAGATGTTATCCTCCCTTTCTCCTGTCCATGCAGAAGTAAGTGAGTGGTAACTTCAGGTTAGTTAACCTGACTAATTCTGTCAGGAAAAGGGGGTGTTCTAAACAGTATTGTTCATTAATAGAAACAGTAAAGAATTATGAGAAACTATACATTTAAAATACTACTCAATATGATTGGTAAATCAAAGTTCATTCTTTTGGCACAGAAAACCATCTTTTCAGTAATTCAGTCAAACTCCAATTAAGGTGTAACACACAGAAGAATATAAAGATGCAGTATACTTAATACTGTAGTGTTTGGTGTTAAAGAAATGGTGAAGAAATTACAGCTATTGTCAGGTCAAGGTTGCCAAATCCTCCCTCACATGCAGGGAATGAGTCAGGGAGGCAGCTGCAAGTGTGAAAATAGGGTGGAGGGAGGGAACTATATGTGGACAGAGTTGTACACAGCAGGTGAGCATACTGTACATAGGAGAGAGAAAGTATGAGATTCCAATTTGACCTCCACCCTAACTTCTGTTCATCAGCACCTATTTCTTGAAAACAGGTTCAAATTTCAAAGAAATTTTAGATGCCGTTTTAAATGCTTTTATCATTCATCAGAGTATTTCAACCTCACTAAAATACTATAAAACAAAAAAAAAGATCTATTAGTGAGTGATAAAGAATTATACCCTCACACTGCACCCTATAACTTTCAGTATTAGTTCATTAATAAAATGAGATTGTAAGGTGTAATATGTGGGTGTGCTTCTTTTCTTCTGTCAGCGACAATCTCCTAAATTGGGTCAGGTGAATAAAACATATTCAATCAGTGGAGCTGCTTTTACAAAAAGAAAAAGCTAAAGTTAAAAGCTTAATGTACTGTACGAAGCCACCTCTACTGTACATATGATGATTACACAACTGGATTGTACAGTACTTTAAAAAATATTAAAGATAATAGAAACCTTCAAAATGGCAGAATAACAGTTTAAATAAGTTTTCTGATAGTTCTTTAAATAACCATTTGATGCCTGACACTATGATTAACATGTCCATAGTTCAGTTTAGCACCCTCTAGTGTCTATACATGTACAGTGAATGTAAGAAATTGAATTTCTCTTTTCTCAATTGTTAGATCAAAGCATGTTATTTATGTCTTGGAAGAGGTTGTATTTTAAAAATGCCCCATTTATCCTGAGAAGCGCAAAAAATACATCAATAAAGTTTTGGCATAAATATTTTTTATGCCTCAGTATACAGCTGAGAATGTAACAGCTTTACTGGTAAAGAGTAATTTGCCTTCAACCTATGGAAGAAAATATTTCCGTATCTGTACTGTCCTTTATGTCCATAAAGTGAATAATGGTGTTGGTATTATAAACACCAAAGAAAGGGGAAAAAGGCCTAAAAATGTCGTTGTTTACCTCTCCAACAGCATTGGACAAGATGTGGACTATTTTCTCATGCGGCGTCGCCACAACACTCTGTCCGTTGATCTCTATGATTCGGTGACCAACTCGAACACCCCCACGCTCCGCTATTCCTCCTCTCATAAGGCTACAGATCTGCAGGTCAACAAGGGTCAACAACATCCACACGGTCACACTTGCCACACACGTCAGGCCATTGCAAATCACTACACAGCTCACCTTGAAGAGCGGAGTGGACAACTGTTGTACCGAACCTTTCATTTCAGGAATCTTCAGCTTTTTTAAACACTAAATAAATCAGATTTGAAAACAGAACTGCTAACAAATCATTATAAAATTACACCTCAAACAAAACAGGCATAACAGCTTCTATTCCACACAAATCTGCTCTACTCTATCTACTTTGTACTATTAACTCCCAGTGTGAGCTGTCACATTGTAAAGACAGGGTCCATGAAATGAGAAACGTACAATTCCGTTCTGAACACTAAAGCCCAGCTGATATCTGAGGTCCGGTCTTCTGATGAGGACTGTTGTCACAGGCGGACATCTCACAATGTTCAGCTTTATCCGTGATTGATTTTTTAAACCCTGAGAGAAAACAAAACAGAAAATAGTCTTACATATAGAGCTTAATGTCTACTCTGCGTTTGACATCAGTCCTTTCACAAGTCAGTGATGTTGAGTCAATGGCGAGACCTGAAATTACACTTACACATCTTTTCACTGTCAGCTATCCCAGTAAAGCTGAACTGACAAAGATGGAGCCCTGCTGTGAACCTGTACTCAGTGGCTTGTACAACTGAACAACTAAAATCAGGAACAAGCTCAAAATCCAAAATCCAAACAAAATATGTTTATTTAATGAGACTAACAAAAATGGTTGTGCTGAGCTATAAAAGCATAAAATCTAACATACATATATATGCAATAAAAATGATATCTACTCCAAGGTTCAGAGTCCTGGTTCTCTTCTGCTTCAAGAGCTAATATTTTTCCTTGTTCCATTAATTGAAATATCATTGCCTCTCATGCTGGTATTGACTTTTTTAACTTCTGTTTCTTATGCAGAAAACTGTGGACTGAGACTACCTTAGTAAACACGAACATTTTATCACTATCTACACCATCCACACCATTCAAACTTCTGTGTGTACCTTACAAAAGCCCCGTTACTGAGTTAAACACTGATTACTGACACTGATTGCAACTTTGATTTTGTGGCTCCAAGAAAATGACTTTGTGGTCTCCTGATAAGCCTTGTTGCTTTTCCTGGCAATGCCTTCATGTACTGTAGCAATTCCACTCCTCAGATTTTGATGGCAGTTCTGCAAGCGGTCACAGGTTGCATTTTAACCTGGGATTCACCCTGTTCTCATCTTCCAGTCAAGTCTCTATGATGCCATGTGCTCGACCCTGATTATGCTTTTAATATAGACTCCCTAAGCAAAGCCACTCGTGATTGCAATTGTCTTTGACCAGATGGGCAATTCAAATCAATTTAAAAATCCCTCTTTCTGACTTGTCCCAGCTTTAGCCCAATCGACCACACTAGAATAGGCTCGACAGCTTTCAGCAAGACATTCAGCATCCTGATGACGGATGAGTGGATGTCCATACTAGGTTTGCACAGTGGCCACTAGGGGGACACCAAGAACACTGAAAGATCTGGATGACGGGGCTCAGCTGTATAACTATTTTAACTATCATTCTCAACATTTTAGCCCAAAAGTAACATACACTTCTTGACAACCGGGTCAGGAAATCAAACTCCTTGCCTATTTTAAAATCTGGCTTTAAAACATAACTGTTTAAACTGGATTTTTTCAAATAGATTTTATAACGTGTATTCCACAGTTATTTTTGAACCCTTAATATGTTGACTTATTTTTTATGGGACTGTAAAGCTGAATATGGATGAAAAGTACTTTGCAACATTCACTCCACCTAACTATACTCAAACTAATATGCCCTCCCTTCTTGCCACCATTTAATATTTCTTTACAGTGCTGCCAGTGAACTTTGGTAAGTTAAGCCAACTCCTCTGTTTTCACACTTGCACTGTGCCGGAACATGAGATCAGGGAACAGTCTGCCTTTTCTCTAGACCTAGTTCTGCATGACGACTGAGGCAACGTCTTTGGTCTTAGCTGATCGTCTGAAATACATTCAGACTCGCTTTCTTTCTTTGAAGCCAAAATAAAAAACTGCCAGAGTGACAGGATGTATTTCAGTATCTAAAAACATCAGTTTTCGCTCACTCCTATGTCACAGTGTGTGTCAATTTAAAGACACTATATCGATAGATATGCCAGGGATGCAAATACACATACATACACACTGCCCCAAAAAGCACTGAGACTTGAGTAAGTAACTGGGAAACCCGTCAGTGGTGCTGGGACACAAGGAGTAAGTGCTGCACCTTTATGATGCTCTGACAAGTGGAGAGGGGCAGGCCCACCAGGCTGGTGCCGTTGATGGACATGATCTGGTCCCCGATGTTCAGTCTCCCAGACTTCTCAGCTGGGCCACTGTGCATCATGTTGGCAATGATGACCGTGGGCAGGATGGATCCCCAGCCTGACTCCACGATCACCACTCCCAGAATCTCCCCTTTCTGCTTCTCGATGTAGACCTGCAAGAAGCAAGACGTGGCCCAGCCTCTAAAGCAAGCTCAATCAGACAGATCCTTTCAGTTTCTAACGACACCGTAGGTTTGTGAAACGCAAAGCCAAAAACCTTTTATGCATGCATAATGCCTGGCATAGAAGCTCTTCTAAATGATCAAAGAAAACCCAAATGAGTAAATGATTCCTCTGACCACAGGAAACATTCCTTTGCATTCAGTGATACTGAGAGAGTGGTACAGTATGCTAAATCAAACCTCATTTTTAGCCAATGCTAAGATCAGGACAGGTGTGGGACTGAGAATGAAAGCAATGTAAAGATGTAAAGAAAAACAATATTGCAAACAAAATATAAAAAATTGTGAAATTTTACACAATCATAAAAAGCTGATGCAACGCTTTTAATTTCAGCTTATCTATAATGTTGTTATGCAACTCTGGAAAAAAAAGCATTAAAGTTAAAAATACGTTTTTATATTTTATATTTCAAATAAAACCTCATTGGTCTTGCAATGTCATTGGAGTGAAATCTGATAAGAGACTCTAAATGAACTATTGACTTTTCAGGAACATTATGGGGGCTGTTTAGGAGGGGATCCCAAGCCTGGATCAAAAAATAAATATTATCCCACCCCAAAAAAAGAAAAGTGGGTTTTATGGCCTCCAGAACATTTTTGTTAACCCTTTCCCCCCTTTAACTTAAAGTTCTACTCGATCTTGTAGCCTGATCTCATCAGATCTCAGAAGCATGACCTTCTGTCAATACTGCCTGGTCAATACGGAAGACCAGTAAGAGGCACTGTTCTCGCTGAATGACACATTTCAGACAAATGCTCCTGTTTCATATCTGGGAGCAGGGTTGTTAAGTCTGGTGTCCTGGTTAATTCTACCATGGAATCTTGTCCAGTTTTTCCCTCTTATTTCAAGTGGTGTAAATGATTTCTTGCTTCTCAGCCTTAACATTTGTCTAGGAACGATGTTGGTACATAATGGCTTAAGGAAGGTGGATTAAGTGTTTTGGAATCCTTTGGAAAGCACTATTTAAATTCCCTTTCCATTAAATTAAACATCCCATTACATTCAGGAGTAGACAATTCTATTTTGCTTTTCTGTTGCTAGCAAATAACAGACTACTAGACACATCCAGATAAAACTATTTTCTTCAGTAAAACTACAGACAAGAATTGTTTTGCATTTCTGGTGAAGGTCTTTCCCTAACAGGAAGAGCCAAGAGTCAAAGACTGTAGGGGCCTGATTTATGAGTTATAAGCGCTGGCTCAGAAAAGAAACAACAGAGAATCCTTGAACTTCCAGCCAATGAACCTAATCCTGATCGACGAACTCACAGGCCAGCACTTCTGAGCCAGATTTTCTTGCACTCATGGAGTGTGAACAAGGGTGAAAGACGGCTGTTAATTGACCTCCCGCTGAACGGTCAACGTACGTCTTTGCAGTTTTCCGATTTGGAGAAGTGGATGAGGTCATCGTTGTACATATCCTGCGTGTTGAGAAGGTCGCTGTACTCCTTTTGGCTCAGGTCCTCGGGGTTAATCCCATTGGCTCGAAGAAACTCCTGGTAGGCCACGCTGAATGCCTGTCCAATGGACTGTGCGATGAGCTGGGCCTGTGGAGGAGAGAAACAAAAATCCAGCTGGTTTCACACGGACATCTGATTAATTAAGGTCGTTCACACTGTTGACAAGCCTCTGGCTGAAGTACCACTGCAGTGACTATTGAGCTTTAATTGCCTGGGTGTTTTGGATGGTATTAGGCTTGGATATACAAAATCCCTCCAAATGTATGGATCTGTACTTGTGAATGAAAAAACAGTCTGACTGTTTTAGTAAAGCATTCTGAAACAAATAGCAGCTGGGGTTTGGGTCTTTTTAAAATGTCTTAAGATGCATTGTCTTCTTTGTATGTGACAGAACGTTTTATTATTTATTCATTCTTAGAACCCCGCTCATCAGTACAAGTTGCTGCTAAAATGAACATTCTATAAAGTACGAAGCTCTTAAACTGCTTTTTTTCATCCTCAATCACAAAAGTATAATTTTCCCATTTATCGCATGATATACATTTTACTGAACCTAACGTGTTTTTAAGGACTTTTTTAGATCCCACTTAGAAAAACATTGGTCACCATGGTAAAAAAGTATGTTCTTGCTCTGGAACCAATCTGGTGAAGAAGAGAAACCAGATACATTCTGGGGCTTAAAGAAGTGTCCTATACTGGCAGGCTGAAAGAGCTGAACCTTTTTAACCTCAAACAGAGAAGACAGAGAGGGACCAGATCCAAATACTCAGAATCCTCAAAGGCATTGAATCTAGTGAACTTCTTATATATCAGTTAACAGTGAAATACAAACCAGAGGTCAGGAGTGGAAACTACGTGGAAGAGCATTTATTTCTGAGAACAGGAGAAATGTCTTAACACAAGGGCTGCAGGAGACTACAACAAACCACCCAGCCATTTTGTTGAAGCCGTTTGATCATTTAGCTACTAATGACCAAATGGATTAGATTGGACGTATAGATTTATCACACAAAAGGTTTTTCATTGGTATAAACCCACAGCAGAGATGGTCATTTTGAACCTCTGTGTTTTATTCTTAGAAAACCTACAAGACAGGAATGAGAAGCAAAGTACTTTTACATCATGTAGCTATTCTTCATGAACAATACATTTTTTCTAAGACCTTCCAGCTCATGTGACCTGAAACTGTTCAAATAGTCATGCATTAAAATTCTTATAAGCTTTCTTGCTCTATTACAGCAATGACAAGGATTAGCCCATTTGATTAATCCTGATGAAGAACATGGCTTTAAATGGCTTGAAATTGAGTCATACATTTAAACTGTAAAACAAACTGCAAATTCATTTCAATACAACTGCTTCGTAGTACTCGGTACCAATCATGGACCACTCTGTGAAGAAGCCCAGCTGTGTTAAGTGTCCTAAATTTATCTACACACCGCACACTCATTGGTAATTGCAGGGATCTCACAGGGATAATCCACCATCCCTCAATTCTCCTCCTACTGATCAACCACACATACAATAATCTTCCTGACCCTGTGACCATGGCTCAGTGGTGAGGCTGTGTTCAAAAGCATATCATTCAGCTGAATTCCAGTAATGGCTGTCATTTGGCGTAAAGCTATAACATCTGCTGGGAAAGTGATGTGAAATTGCCATGGGATGTATTTGTAACGGCAGTTAAAAATGAAAAGCGACGCTTCATAAAAACAGCCGTTTGTAAAGACACGCATGAAACCTCAAATGGACGCGGCTATAAAACCAGCGTGTTTTCAGAATCGCCCTTTTCAGAATAAGTGAAAGAAAACTTTTGAGTCCAGCTATGAATTGTCTTGTCGTTTTAGTACTCTGACCTCCTACCAACCCACACAACAAAACGATGTTAAATAACGACTCAATGGCAGCCCCTATTCCTAACCGCGACCGCTAGCGCTTGTCAGCCCGCCGTATGGAGCGCCGCCGTCGCCGTGGAGAGCCATTCTTACGTCCTCGGACTCGAAGACGTGGCAGATCATCTTGTACTGCCTCTTCTCGTCCTGCGCCGGGTGGGAGGCCTCCACGTTCTCCTGGGAGTTGGAGCGAGGCATCCTCCGCCGCGCCATGAGCACCACAATGTTCCCGATGTCCGCGATGTACGAGATGGTCCGCAGCGGGTGGTCCATCATCGTCTCCTGTGGAAGTAGAGAGGACGCAGGCGTGCATGGAGGAAGGTCAGGAGATCTGCAGGGCGGGGGCTACAAGAACGACTGGCAACTCCAGCTCAGTAAAGGCTTGGCCAAAGAACCAAATACAGGGGCATCTTAGAGGCAAGCTACCCCGCAAGAACAATGTCAGAATACTGCTGAAGACACACATACATAATAATTAAAATAGTTTTGGATATTTCAGCACAAACAAGTCCAAGTATGACCATGCCGCCATAATCTAAGGTTATGCTTATTTATAATATAATATGGATGTACTGGGCAAACAATTCAGGTAAAGAAACAGACTCTTAATAATGTCTAGCTGGTAGTCCTTTGTCCTTTTCATAGTAGACAAACAGCATACTATTTGTCCTCACTACCTGGGTTTATAAATGGACAGAAAAGATTGATTGACTGATCTCTCCCTACCAGGTTACCACCTGTTTCAGAAATTTACCTCAGAAAATTGCTACCAGTCTATTAAAGACAGAACTACCCGGTATTTGAAAAGTTTCTTTCCAGGGTAAAATCCTTTTAACATGAAATGTACTTGGTTAACAAAGGTGATTTTGATTCTTCTGGAACTGATAAAAATGTCCTGAAAAATCGTAATATTTTTTCTTTAAAAGGCACAGTAAGAAAAATACTTCAGCAACGTTGTTATATGGATTGTACCAGGTCTAATACTTTCTCACGTGTTGCACACTTCATAGAACAGTTGATTAGTGTTTTAACATGTGTGAATGGATCTACTGACAACAAAGTTGACATGGCCAGCACAAAAACCTTCCCATCATACTTCTCTCCCTCTTTTCATGCATTTAAAACCTCCTGTATAATCCAATTTATCATGGTACCTTCAAGTTCCAATTAAGACAATGGTAATTTATTTCTGAAGCAACACTAATATTGCTGTGAAGCCCTCCAGTATTCTCAAATTGTTACACTTTCAATATCAGCTAAGTTGTGCATAGAGGTATAATACAATATAGTTTAAATTAAACATGCTTCTATAATATCTGCTGCTGTTAGAGCTATTTCATTATAAATGATGACATTTAAAACAAGGAAATAGATTCAGTGCCCAACTCTGGAACAAATACACATTTATTAAAACTATATATCCATAGAGCAGCTTATTGATTGTTTTCACTAATTTGTAACAATTTCTATACCCTCATTTAAAAATGTAACATGGTTTCAAATATATAAGAAAGGTCCAATACAAATTATACTTAGTGACATTATTATCCAAAAGCTATTCACCAGGAAGGGAAATTCTTTTATAATATGGGGAGAAAAAAAGTCCCCTTTCTTACATTATTCGGAAACTTGTATACGCTGGATCTTTACAGTATCAACACTAACATCAAAGTGTATGACAGGCTAATTAAAATCGAATCTATTTGAAACCCCACACAGTTCACCACATCATCAAAAGGTGACAAAAATCAGAATGACTTTGAACCACTTGCAAAGTAACAACACCTTAGAAAAGCAATATGAATTGTTCATAAAGGAATATGTGATGCCTGTTCTCTTTTCAATAAACAGATCTTAACATGAAAAATCAATATTGTGACCTTGAGGCAATACTAGACATTTAGTTACACATTGAACTGACAGTGCATATGAAGCTGTAGGGGATTTAACGTCTGCTCATAGAAATGAGAAATTGAGGTTCTTACAAATAGATCAAAGAAACTGTAAATACTTTCAAGGTCTTTTCACTGGTAATAATGTGAACGGGATTTATTTTTAACAAGACACCAGGATTAATTTTAAAAAAGCATTCTAAATGATCAATTAAGTAACCACCGCATGGAGAGACTCTCTAAGCTGATTATAAAGTCATAACCCCAGCATGTAACTTGATTGCTTCAAAATCCTTACACGCAGTTTGGCGATTCTCAACCAGACAAAGTGAACTGATATAAAACTGTCCTTCTTCATGACTAAATTGGTTAGTTGTATACTTACAAATTACCTATCTCAGAATGCCTTTTATACTATTTACAGACATGGCATGAACATCATAAACATCGTGACAGAACAACGAGACACCAGCTCCAGCCTTTCAGTATCATTACAGGGAAAACAGGGAGCTTAAGTAAGAAAGACAGGCTGACTGAACTCTACCTGTGAGTCTGCGTTCAGCACTTTGATTCTCTGAGTGGAAATGAAGAGGTCCACTTCAGTCATGGGTTGGGACTCGCCTTCTGGTGCCTGCAAAGACAGAACTGGAACTCTAATCATGACTGCTATCATCGATAAAACTGTCATCACTGTTGTTATTATTATTGTTGTTATTATTATTATTATCATTATTATTGTTATTATTAAAACCTGCTCACAGCAAAAAGTCAGAAGTCAGTTACAACCACACCAGAGAAAAATTGAAGGCTGGAAGCACTTCTGTATTTGAACAGATGCATTTCTAGCATGTCCTCTTTTGAAGCACTGAACTTGAAGTCTTATATATTGCAGTTTGGATTAATAAAAGAAACAAAAAGAGAAAAAACTCACTCCATAAACTGTATGTCACGAAAACCTACATGGACAAGCAAAGTGCCACTGTATTCTGCCTTCAATGGAACTCTGGTAAACAGCTTATTAAGTAGACACAATCATCTTTGGAACAATCCTTGCTAGCAAAGTATTTTAAGTGTTATGCAGGGATATGTAACAGTAAAGGCTATTTTATTCTCAGCCATGGACACAGTCTATGACACCTAAAGAGAAGCTGCACTACAATTAAAATGTCATTATGAATAACATTATGAATAAGTAAACAGAACTGGGTACAAACATATCAGAAAACACCACAGAAATCAGTAAAAAAGTCACAAAACTACATAAAAATGTATCACACCTGCATAATACTTTTCTGCATCCAGCAATTTACGCCACATATCAATTACTGTTTAAACAACTCCACTGAACACAGATTTTCTTCTTGTTGGTCAATGCCTGGAAAAGTCCAAAGAGCTGCATATTTCCCATGAAATGAAAAATGCCAGATAAAGAAATAAACACAGAGATGCTTTCACAAACGAAGTTGTGACCATGAACTTAAATTTCTTTTTTTGCTGGATTCAGAAAATGTAATTAAATTAAAAAAAAGAGAGAAATCAAAAGGCAAAAATGCAAAGCAACAGGCAGAAAACATCAAGCCAATGACAGATTTACTGCACCTTCTTCCTGCTTTTGGCTAATTTCTGGGCCATCTGCTTAGCATGGAATAAACAGAGACAGGAGAATGGTTAGAGCAGAGCCACACAGACTGTCAGACAGGGGGAGCAACACGTCAGATCTGCCTGGAGACTCAGGACTTGACAAAGTCTGGTTTTTGCGCCTCCTGGCTGGGACTCTGAATATAAAAAATGGATTACAAACAAAGAATCACATATTTGTAAGTGCCTCTTACTGCATAAGGGTCTCACATACAGGTTCTGGGAGTGGGAAAAGTCCCTGCTTCTCTTTGGCATTGCTGTGACACAGCTCTCCAAACAGGGCTATTACTATTAATTTATTGGACTGCCGCTTGAATCGAAACTGACTTACATTTTGCCATTTACACAGCTAGTTGTGTTTTCTGAAAATTCAGGTGACGCACAATTCTCAAGAGTACACCATGTGTCCCAATTGGGTTTTGAGCCCATGACCTCTCAGTTGTGAGTCCAGAACCCTGACCACACCTCCACACTGCAGGGCCACTTGATTTCAGCCACCCTTGCCAAATCAGGCAATTAGGAAAATATTGCAGCTAATATTTTAGGTGCAAGCTTTTTACTCTGGTCATGTCTGCCCATTTAAAGACAGCATCACCTACTGTAAAAATAGAATATTTAGTAGCTTTGCATTGTGAAACAAACAGCAGATTTAAAACGGATGCTAAACGTGACCCTTTTTTGAACCCTTCAAATTCTCTTGTCAAAAGGTAAAACTATATCGTTGATAAAGGTAAAAAAACTGTTTTTAAAATGCCTTTTAGGAAATAATGGTATTTTGTAAAAAATAAGATGCTGAATTTCTATTGATGTGGTGCTTTTTTTCTACTGCACAACTACAATTAAAGTAGGCCATTGTCCACCAGATGGCGCTCTTGTTTTTTAAAAAAACGTTACATTTTAATCATGGTATAAGCATACATTTTGCTCAAATTTTGCTAGTTTTTGAAAGTTCATTGCTTTTCAGAGTTAAATACACAGCAAATAATGAAGTAGATGCACAAGAAAAAATAATAATCTGAGACTTTACACGTCTCGATAAAATTTGCTGCCTCGATGCATATTTCAACATGTAGTATTAAATTATTGATTACATTTTAGGTAAATGTTTCTACGTTTGTTTCTAATTGCTAATGTTTCTAATTTCAAATTTAATAGAATAAAACTAGGTTCCAAAACAAAGATAAAATGATTAGATGAATCTTTTCTACCAAAATATAAGGAATGTTAACGGGTTCGATGGGCCAGATGGCCAGATGGCCTCTTCTAACTTATAGCCTTACTGCTTTATTATTTTTATTAAAAAAAATATTTTATTTCATATACTTTCCCCAGTATGCAAAACATAATCTAAATACTGTATACAATGGACAGTGGTTTGCTGTAATACCCTGCTTCTCAGAAAAGCCCCAGGTCAAAGTCAAACATAAGTATACAGGTACTCCTTAATTTATATGTTCTAAATTAGTACATCTTTTTGTCTAATGCTTCACAAGAATATACAATATACCACTTCCTAATATAGGACACTATAATTCTTAATTTGGAGATGCCAGGGACAGACAGCCTGGCAGAGCGCTTGAGACAATATAAGCTGAGTGCTATGAGCTGGTTAGCCATTGTCACTTAAGTGACACACAGGCAGCTTGGCTTTCTCTGTGTTTGTCTGCTTCCAACCTCCGTTCATCTCACACTTACTTGATGCCTGATGTATATTAAAATGTCTTTCTTGTCTTAGACTGTGCCTTATATTTACTGTATATTGTATGAAATCTAGAATAACTTCAAGAAAACACTCAGGCAAGGTAAACTACTGGATGAAAAAATCTATTCAGAAATAAACTTCTATTCAGAAGTCATTATAAAACTCCAAAACAAACGGCCTTAAAATTCAAGAAATAAAAAACTATAATAGTCAGCTACAAATCTAATGAAGGAAAGCATATGTAATGTTACTTACAAGATTTGAAAATAAACGGCATTTAAAAGGGCACATGAATACTCAGTTAATTTATAAATTGTTGATTTACGCAATGTTTTTCAGGAACGTTATCTGCCATGTAAAATGAGAACTAATTGTATAAAGAGAAGAATTTTATGTACTATCGCTTTTTCTTTCAAATTTGGGCTTATTATGTGTATTTATTCCTTTTCTTTAATGCATTAATGCATTAATATTTATTTCAAAACTAAACACCTGGCATATTGATGTACAGCATGTTATTCTGTCGACTGACAGAAGATAAGAAAAATCCAAAGGAATCACAAGAACAAAACACAAAGCCGAAGACAACTCAGCATCACAGCAGAGCGGATATGTTTTCAACAGGTTTGTGGATCTTTGATATTTTTTGTCTTGTTTCTTCCACCGTCTGACAAAAAAAAAGAACATGAATGTCAATTTAAACTAACAATGACTGGGTACAGACACATCTGGAATGCAGCCTGTGCTTGTAAAAATAATTCTTGATGTTTGCATTCAGCATTTTTTACATGCAATAAAAAATGCAGAGCCAAATATTGAAGACATTTGAAAGCATGATGTGGGCAAAATGCATCAGCAGAATTAAGATGGGCCCAGCAAGATTAACAAAGGGGAAACAATCTGATCTTGCAAAAACGTCACACAACATTTACCCCTCTAGATATTTTTAAAACTGACTCCTGTTCAGCTTTCACACTGGAAATTTCACTGAACAGGAAATTGATTATTAGGAAAAAAAGCCCAAATCTCTTGTTTGTTTTCAGTTGAAGGCAAACAAGATATTCACCCAAGTGTGGAATACTATTTTCCCAAAAAGAGAAGAATCAGTTATACAGCACAGAAATTGTTTAATGATATGTTTTCATTCATCCATTATTTTTTTTGGGCTAAAACCATGCTCGATGACCCAAACTCAGCTCCCCACCCTGCAATTGGAAATTAGTCTGACAGGGGACATAATGTGATCGCTAAGAAGCAGTAGGAACAGCAACAGAAAAAGTGACATCTTTAGTCAGTTCAAGAACAGGGAAGCTTGTGTTTGGTTTCAGAATTGGGTGCATTCCAAGCAGTCATCATGGTAATTGGCTTGTGAGGTTTCCTGGATAAATGCTGGTCATCAGACTGTATCGCCAGTTTCAAAACAAACGCACAAGATTATGGTTGCCCATCAGCCAAGCCTGAAAACATTCAATGGCAGGTAAGAAACAAGAGAGGCTTGACACACAAGGCTGCCGTTGAATGGTAGATCAAGTGACGAGAGTGTTTTAGTGTGCAAAAACATCAGCCATATCTCTGCAGTTCCAGGTGGGGAAGAGGCCTTCGTGTGACATTAGGTCAAGCCCCACAGCAGCAGCCATGCAGTGGTGCAACTGCAGGAATCTCCAGCTCACTGAAAACAAGTGAGGGGCTAAAAGGCAAGGCTACTGACTGCTTTTCCGCAGGTTATTTTAATGTACACTCAACCCTCGCTCTACGGGCACAGTTGGTTCCAAATGGTCTGCGCGTAGGCAAAAAAATCTAGAGACTAGGGTTAGGGTTAGGGTTAGGGTTAGGGTAGGGTTAGGGTTAGGGTTAGGGTTAGGGTTAGGGTTAGGGTTAGGGTTTAGGGTTTAGGGTTTAGGGTTAGGGTTAGGGTTAGGGTTAGGGTTTAGGGTTAGGGTTAGGGTTAGGGTTTAGGGTTAGGGTTAGGGTTAGGGTTAGGGTTAGGGGTTAGGGGTTAGGGGTTAGGGTTAGGGTTAGGGTTAGGGTTAGGGTTAGGGTTAGTCTCTAATCTGTTCCAAGTGCTTGTAACTGGATATAATCCAGTAACCAGCACTTTCCGATGCACATTGTTATGTTTATGAAGCAGTTATGCAGAGAAATAAAATCTCTTCCCAGTTCCCCATAACTGTCTGTGAGACCTATGCGTTTGTGGTGGGAGAGACCACCATCTACCTGACTGAAGTGAAATCCCTGGCTAGACGCAACATCCAGAGCTATGGAGTCATAATCAGAGACAGCACTTCCAGACCGCTGGTGGAGTGTCACCATGTGAGGGGAATCTGGCCAGTACAGGCTACCTGGTGAAGAGCCCCTACCTGCCCTCTGCTGTGCTGTCACAGAGAACGTCTGGGGCGCAGCTCCGGATTTCTACAGATGAGAGCTACTCCAGGTTCTACCTTCAGCACCACCGGCCTCTCCAGGCTCCTGGTGGGGAACCCAGTCTACCTGGAGGTGCAACTGCCGAACGCTCCAGACCCCAGCCTGGTGCACCACTACTCCCCGCTCTGGTCAGACTGGCTGGGTGATGCTCTGGGCTACGGCCACACTTCCACCCTGCACATCCACCCCGGGCTGCCTCTGCCCAAGGACCACCCCCGCCTCCACATCTACATCTTCCAGTTCCTAGCCAGCTCCTCCTACTCCTACATCAATGAGGAAATCTACTTCATGTGCTCCGCAGAGCTGTGTCTACTGTCTGAGCGGTAGTGTGTGGAGTGCTGCTGTGATGGCCTCAAAATCCCAGTGCTAGAAAACCCAGATGTTGACAAGTGCTGTCGGAACACCCTGCCCTGGATGAGACATGGCCCTTAGAGACTGAGGGACAGGTTAACCAGGACCTGGCACTGTCTCTTGGGGATGGTCCCAACAGTTAATATTGAGGAAAGTCAATTCTAATAAAGATGGTGCTCTACTGGGAAAATAAAAATAGGATTTGAATACTTGGCAATAGTCTGGGGTTCTCTGTTTAGTCAAGATGCATACCTTGTTTGTAAATATTGTAACTTACATATTGTATGCTAATGTTGTGTGTTGCTTACTGTGCGTATTGTATTATTAATAAATGTTTGTTAAAAAAACAGAAGAAAGAAAATGTCTATATTCACATGAACAATAAATATGACATGAACTAATCAAAATTTCTAACACAAAAACTGTTTATTACATTAGTTAATTAATCTTGTGCAGTTAAAGACAGAATAAAGGCCATATCTGTAAAAGTAAGATACAGCATTAAGCTATCTGGTGATATTAATATTGTGCACTCACAGTGTGCATAATCAGAATAAAACATTCCATTGTATGAAAAGCTAAAATTAAAATCTCTATGACTGTTGATAAATGTAAAGAACACCTGTCAAGGTTTAGGTTGTTAGAGGTCATGAGGAAATAAACCATACTATATTTCAGAATACTGTCAAAATGCAATACAAATACTGAAACAAACATTGTTTTAACGCCTCTCTGTACAAAAACTGAAAGTGTTTATTAAAAACTAACTCTAATGAATGAACACTATTTCAATGTCTAAAAATATGTGTTTTTTAAAAAACCCTTAGACAGTGCAAGTTGTTCCATGTTTACCAAGTTATTCTATGATGTATTTTCTATGTGTTCTATATCAGACTTAGAATTTGGAAGTTACTGTAAGAAGCCATATTGCGCCTGCAAATCTATCAGAACTCCGTGTACTGAGCTAGTTACAGAGGTAACTTCATCCTCTCTTGAGTCTAGACAGTGTAACACACAGTATTCTGGGCAGGGTGCAGTTACCCACTGCCTATAGGGAGTGGTACTGTGAGTGTTTGGAGCCTGCAAGCTACTGGGATCGAATCCCAGCAGGAACAGGAAGAACTTCACCTGCCATATAAAGAATATGGCCAAAAAAGTGCCTTCTCACACTTCCAAAATTAAAAAAAGGAAGCTCGAGAGTGATTTGATTTGCCAAAATCACATTTAGACACAGGTGCAGCTAGACTATGCATTTGCACCAGGTGTCTGATCCCTGCTGTTTGTCTACAGGTCCCACATTCAGTCCTACAGGGTATTTAAGACAAATAAAAGGGAAGCTGGCAGCGTCAGTAAACAGGGGAGATTAGTGTCACCTGTGTTGGATTCATCACCTTAATTCTGCTGACGGCCTCCTGGGCTTGCATCATGCGCACGTTCTTGGAGGGGGTTTTGTCTGAGAGCAGCTGTGTGGACCCAAGGTAATTGGCTGCAAATATGATGCCATCAATAAGGTCTTCAGGGTCGCAGGGCCCAGGAACTGCAAAACAGAAGACATCATCTCACAAGAGCAGCCTGGCAATGGAGAGACAGCGTCCAATTCAACTACAGAAGATGAACACCCTGACACAAATATTTCGCTTGTGTATGAGTTGTAATTGTATTAATTGCTATGTCATACAAGAATATTGAAACCAGCTGCAGTCCCCTCCTCATTTTAGAAATGTTTACACTGGTTAGCTGTTGGGAAAGCACTGAAACACCCCTAGAAGTTTTAAAGATTAAGAATAAACCCAAGACAGAGTTTCCAGTTTCATTCAGGTTTAGCGTCGATCCACATTACAATGTTCTTTTTGGCCTCGGCTTCAAACAGAGAGACAAAAATGACTCACAAGAACAAAAAATTAAATGTTGATTTTCAATATACTGTAAAAGAATAGTATTCTGCTATTTAATATGAACTACTTCCAAAATATGCTTAAGACACGGTAAGATGTCAAATCATAGAAGGAGAACATTATCAGTAATAGAGACAAGAACAAGTATCTTTGATTTTGATATTTTGATAAGATTGAAATTTACTGTACACATTATGAGACAGTATTAAATACATGTGTTCCTTCTGCCTTGTCATGTCAAGACTTCAGTGGGGTTGTACTGCAGAAAGAAGTGCTCTGGAGTGCCTGCCTTGTGCTCTCAGGAAGACCTAGAGACGAGGACTGCTGCTGTCACCTCCATAGCAGAACAAAAACGCACATGAATAAAACACACTTGATGTGACAGGTGGAATATGTCGGCTTGCACTGAGATCTGTTGTGGTCTGACTGCTGTACATGACAGCCACAGGGCTCCCTCTAACAAGGTGGCTCATGAACCTCACACTGGACTGTGAAGCTGCAGGGCAATGAGTCTTCAGCAAAGCTCTTCTCTGTTATGCACCAGTTGTAGACGTCCTCTATGACAACACGACCCACTAATCTACTGTAACCCATATGAGAAAGTGTTTGCTGACCCTCCATCAGTTATCCTGTTAATTAACTAATCCATCTCAAGTGAGTCTATTTACAGCTATTACTTTGTGGCCTCTACCAGCAGGTCATTTGTGACTACAGTCCTTACTAAGGCTGGCCTACAACAATGACATTACAATGGCATTACAAAATAGTTCAGCACTACAAATACTCACTATTATCGAATCTTTTGTGCAGTCTCTCCCATATAATTTATATTTATTTAGAAGGTTTATTTCCTTACATTAGAAAACGGAAACTCTTACCTTCAACATAAGTTGGGAAGGAAGCCAAGCTTTTCCTTGACTGCAATTGAAACAAAACAGTGTTTCAAGCACAGCCCAAACATGTCTGTGAACACCTACATCTGTGAAATTCAAAAGGCAAAGCCCTCAAAGACAGATCAGCACAATCCTGTCACTTGCTTTCATGGCCCACTGATGAGATGGGCACAAATCTGAATCATGAGCCTGACCCCAGGGCTCAACGGCAGATCAACAGTATTTACGCATGACATTTTAGAAAACACAACAGCACAAATAGTAACCGTACTATTATAGAGACCATACTACTATACTTCAGTAATACTCAATGTTAAAATGTGGTTTAGCATCACTACCCTATTTTGTTTACTATGATTCAAATGTACAGATTTCGAAATAGACAATATCACCTGTTAAATATGCATTTCTAAAAATTTCCAATCATGATTTATTCACCTTAACAGTTCACTTCATAATAAAATTAAGAATATGGAACACTGAGTATAACTGAGTGCAAGTAACATAAAAAGGCAGTTGTACTTCTCTTTTTCACGTGTCAAGCTACAGTATACCCTAAATTCATGGAGTGTGACCTATAAATTCAATGGGACAGTACCCCACAAGTCATAAAGATGACATTTTGTTAAAAAAAGAAACTTAGTGGGCCAATTGTGTATTTTTTTATTTAGAATTGACATTTGTGTATAAATTTAAGGTTTTGAGACTAAAACCATGTGCCGCACAGGGACAATGAGAGTCTTCAGACACCCTCCTCCAACATAAGAAGCTGTCAGAGCCACCTGCCATTTGATGTGCTGCAAAATCCCCAGTTCCTGAACAGGGGGAAAGATATGCCTCCCCCTGCCATCACTGCAAGTTGCAGGATGTCCAAGAAGCTGGGTTCAGACCGTTGCGAGACAGGTTAGTTTTACCCTACTACTGATGTGTTGCTGCACTAGTAATCCTGCTCGGTACAAGAGGAACCGCATGCAGGTTCAGGCATTTGGTGTCTGTGCTTGGGTGAGGAGACAATGGTGCGAAGCTACCGTCTGTGGGATTATGACTAAGTGCCTCTAAGTTAGAATCCCCCCTCAACGGTCAGAAGACCTTTTGGAAAATGTCTACTAAAATAAAGATTTTAAAAACATCTTTAAAAATGTTCAAGTAGGTAGCTGTGTCAGCATGCGTAGGCTGCAAAGGAACAAGTGAAGGTTTATTCCATGCTCACACCCGAAGAAGGCTCCACAGCCAAAACGTTGTGTTTCCTTTCTTCTCTTTTCAGTGTGGAATAAACCTTTTACTTGTGCCTTTAAAAATGTTTATTGGTAAGCAGAGAAATCTCAGAGCAATCCATGGGGAAGATACAAATCATTGTGCATCATCCCTTGGAAAATCCCAGGTACTGTCAGCTGGTCACAAGGCCTAGACTTGAACCTGTGACACCTGGACCAAAGAGGCTCCATCCAAACTCTGAACGAGCGAAGGGTCTTTGAGGATTGAACCATTCTGGAATTCCAAATCTCAACAACACTTCAAGAAAATGACTGTTCACAAAGAACACAAGCAATGTTACGAAGCTACAGTATGTGTAGCGGAGCTGGTTGCAGCGCGGTGACGTCACTGCCCTCCCTGTGCATAACAGGGAACTCAGCCTTCCCAGCTGGGGGAGGTCTCCTTTAGCTCAGCCGCCTGGTTCTCTGTTGTGTGAGACCGGGACCCGGGTTTGCGCCCAGGTAGTGAGGGACGAATCGGCAGGGCGGAGCAGCGAGGGCATGAGCCCGCGCAGAACCGCGACGGTCACCCAGGCAAGGAAACTTCTTACACTTTTTCTTGCATTTTTTTGAGATTTTAGTAGGACATTTGCTCCACTTCAAAATCACACCCGTGTATGTGCTTAAGACAGGGATTCCAGGTTAAATATGATTTGTGCTCAGACTTGTAAAAGACAGTAGCATATCGTGAATGTCTGACAAATGCGTAAGACAGGGATTCCAGGTTACGATCTGTGCTCATATTTTTAACAGACTGTTAGTAGTATTTGGAGAATGTGTGAGAACTCTGTCCCTGTCCGTGTCATCGTTGCCGGAGCCCTGCCAAGCGAGCTCACCTCTTTGCTGGCCGGGGAGTCAGAGTTGTCGCTGCCATCGTGGAGGTGCTGTTGGCTGGAGGACTCTGCGCCTTGTGGGGAAGTGGAACTCGATCCAGGAGACTGGCGAGAGGAAACAGCAAGAGGACAGCATCACTGGAATGGGAAGGAGGGCCGATTATTTCCTTCGCAGAGGACACAATGGGGGACATATTACTAGGCGACACACGCAACCGAGGTTTGGAGCGGGCAAGAGGCACCACAATGAGCTCAAAACACTAGTCGTTCTTTCGAAAATCTGCAAGAGGAATCTTAAAACGCCCACAAATTTCCATTTGCGATTTCCTCATTTAAATGGTTTCTGTTTTTTGTTCCTAGCTATCCCAAGATATTTTCCACATAATGGATAAATGCTTTGTGAAACACTTTACTGTATTTATATCCATAAAAGACACCATAATTACATTATTGAATAATTTGTAGGTCTTTCTGAAAAATCCAAAGCAAACCTTGCACACAATATTTTATGCTCTATATATCTTACTGTTCAATCAAATTACTAGAGTGTCAATATTGGAAATGATAAAAATGAGTTTAAAGAGGGTTCAAAATAAAAGTCTAATGCAATTCCAATTTAAATTTGGGCATTCTTATGATCTTCAAGGCTTCAACTATGACAGTTTTTAACTAGAACAAGACTAAATCACAATTTAGCTTCAGCCATGCAGAAAACAGCTTGGCTAATCAAAAATGATTTTATTGATGCAGAAGATCTCAACAAAAACTATTCACAAAGCAAGGAATGCTCTGAAAATCAGTTCTTATATGATGATAAAAGTAAACTGGATACGACATACACTGGCTCATAATCGATAAACATCCAATCCTAACATGCAGCAGCCCAAAATAAAAATTGTAAACCAAACCTCCACAGTTTCCTGATAATCTACTTGGTACATCCAGAAGTTTTCCATAGTGACTCTCAACCCGTTCACACAAGAGGTCTAGTCTTCACAAACCTTGGCTGCAACTGAGTGCCCTGGTGTGAATACGCAGATCTCCTGTGTCACAGTGTGCTCAGAATCCATAATGAAATTGGATGGCAGAAGGATTTCTGTTACAGCCATCGGAGCAGTGTGGTTGGGTTAACCTCTTCACTCCTGCTTGATTTCAGGCAAATGCGCACTCTGGCTCAGAGAAGGAGGTTGTGTATTCTAAACTGCTGTGTGGCTGTTAAACTGCACCTAACTGTGTTTAATATGTACTGTACTAAAAGACACGCATTCACTTGCCACTTAGCCTGGAAGACTCAACGATTGTTTTTCACAAGTCTATGAAATTTGTAAAGCAATTTTTTTAACTTCAAATGTCTCAAGCTCAAAGAAACAGTCTATTTTTTTTACTAATGTTTTTTTTTAAATGCAACACTGCTTACGTTTTAGTTCTTTATAACGTTTTTACATTCAATCAAGTTAATCTGCCCTTTTGTTTCCATGATGAATATTGTGGGTAAACACAGACATCAGTGGCTCTAAAGAGTGAAGAAGAAGGAAATTTCCCCAGTCCTGAAAAAGAAGTCACTTCAGCCAAAGAGCATAAAGAATGCAAACTCTTAACAAAGATTCTGAAATTCAGTAAATATCCGCCATATACAGCACTTGTGGTTTTTTTATAGATTCAAAGTCAACAATAATTCCTGGTTAAAAAAAATTGCACAACATTTCAGGTGTGAAAAAGACAGGGCAGTAAGCAAAGCTAATGTAGCAGGAGAACAAAAGCTGGGAGACAGGAGGACCAAGGTGCGGGAGCAGGGGACAGAAAGAGAGGACAATCAGGAGGTGTGAAGTCAGAATAGGTGAAGAGAGGTGTGAAATGAAACCTACAACGAATAGAGAGAATTTAGAAGAAAAGTAGCTGGAGGTACAAGATGTCATCTGAGTGATCCAGAATTGTCCTGAGGGGCCTTGAATGAGTGTGGTGTTAGATATGTACTTGCAGGTGACACAGCGAACTCTGTTGTAGGAGAAAGTGCCTGGTGTGGATGGTGGCTGAGGGTGATCAAGGGAGCTGTGAACAAGAACGTTACGCAGATTAGGTGGTCGGCGATATGAGATGATTCTCAATCAAGGATAAGGACAAGATGATGATACAAACGATGCTGACTTTCTTTAAATGAAGAAAATGCAGATGTTTACAAATCTATTCCAATATCACAAAAAGCAAAAGAGAAATGATTCTAATAAAACTATTTAAAAAAAACAAAGGTGCAGTACTTCAAGTTAAAACTTGACCTTATGAAACAAACAAATATCAGCATTTGATATCAATGGTTTCTATCACTGGCTGTAGGAATATGTAGGACAGTTGCTGTTTACTGGATTCTGAACATGCAGTATACCTTGAAGGAGGGAGCAGTTTTTGCTGTTTTGTCATCCAAACCCTGCTTAATTATTTAGAACAGATCTTTTTGTGTCTCTTACTTACCCTAAATAAATCATGCAGTGGAAAGAAAAACATGACGCATGCAAACTTCAGAGAAAGGTATCAAAATAAGGGAAACTTTCCCGCACAACGAACTGCCCATTTGCAGATAACGAGACTAAGTGTTGAACTTAAATTTAACTTGCTGTTACCAGTCACTGCTCGGTGCAATTTGTTATGTTGCATATATTATAAAACAAAACACTTGTGTATTCACAGAACATTTTGTGACGTTGCTGAAAACTAATCTGACCTCTTTTATGCCTCAGGATGCTTTGACAAGAAAAGTGCTACATAAAAGATGTTATATAAAAACCACTAACTAATCACAAAGAAAAATGCTTTTTGAAGGTTTGGAAAGTTTGAATTCTTCTTTTGTGCCATCTGGGCTGTAAGTGCTTTAGTGTGTGATGTTGAGTCCTTGATTAAAATAATGTAGATGTATCTTGTATAAAGTACTGTCTACACCTCCACCGTACCCCTGTTGCTAAAAAACACAGGCTCTGCTCTATTCAGTTAAAAAAAAACTAGATGCAAGAGAACAGAAGGTCCAGACAAAATGGAGACTCTTGACTCCACCACATTCCCACAAAAGCTGCAAATGACCGGCTGACCTCAGTCACCTGACCAGTTGGTATAAGAAAATTGGTCAATAGTTTAAAAACCAGGAAGCAGAGGTTTTTGGAGTTAGTCTGATCTGATATGCAGGGACAGAGGACAGATCATCTGCAGTGCAAATCCACCAGATTGGAAAGGGAAGGAAGCAATCAGCTGACCCCGTGAGTGCGTGGAGAAACAATTTGTGGACACGTGAGTTTTGAAAGAGTCAAAGACAGAGACTTTGTTTTGGAGCTGGTAAGCAGCTTAGCTGCATAGCTGAATACAAAGAGAGGGTTGTGAAGACGTCCAGTTAAGAAGCTCCACAACCCACTGGCGCAGTTCTCCACTGGGGGAGACAGAGGGTAGCACTATTACCCAAGATGACTTGACTTCTGCAGGAAATGCAGAACCTATTGCCATAAAGAAAAGAGCTGCAGTTGTAGCACCGAAGGGTCACATAGCCAAGGACTGCATGGCCACCATGAAGTGCACCGGATGCTGCACTGAAGGGCATCTGCTTTTACAGTGCAAGATAAGCAAGCCATTCTTTGCATAGGTGGTCAAAGACAGAGAGCCGGTACCAGCAGCAGGAAAAAGGGAAACAGGAGAGGGTAGATCCCCTTCTCCCCCCGAGACAATGGGCAAAACAGAGGCCACACCACTGGTCCCATCAACACCGGACACCAGCCAGGCAGAGCAACAAGAGGGGTCCCTGGATCACTCCCAGTTCTGCAGAGCTGGAGTCGCTGCTCAGCAGTTCTCCCTGGTGGACGGCTTCCGGTGGTGTTGCCCAAATGATGTGGGAATGAGTTAAGAGAAACTCCAGGGGAGTATGCAGTCGCCTAGACTACATCTCCATGCACACGACCTGCTCCATGAGGAAATCTTTCACCAGGGAAAGCTCAGACATACAACGAGGGAAGGCGTCAGGTGGGGGACGCCACCGACCTCAAAAACTGGAGGCCAATAACAATGCTCCGCATGGAAGTCAAGATGCCGTCCAAGCTACTGGCTAGCACACTGAGAACCTCCCTGACCCACATCATCAACAGCGACCAGACATGAGAGCTGAAAGAGCGATTCCTCAGCTGGAACCTCCAGCTCACCAGGGACGCCATCGTCTGGGCTGAGCACCCAAAGGTGCCCATGATGATAGTGAGCCTGGAGCAGGTGAAAGACTTCAAGACAAGTAAACCACAGCTATCTGTTCAGCTTGCTGGATCACTTCAGTTTCACTGGATACTGTACTCTGAAGGTTGCAGCAGGGTCAACGTAAACAGACATCTGTGGGATTCCATTCCCCGGGAGTTTGGAGTACAACAAAGGTGTCCTCTTTCACTACTTCTCTATGTTCTCTTCACAGAGCCACTGGCAGAGGGGTTGAGACAGGACCCAGTCATTGATGGTCTGGCAATACCGGAAGGCACGGGGGAAGCCCTCAAGATCTCCTGGCATGTAGAAGACACGGCGCTGTTCCTGAGCTCAGACAGGGGAGCAATGGGGAGCAATACTCCAGAGATTTGAGTTTGAAGCTCAGCTGTTGAAAGAGCGAGCTCAAGTTCTTTGCACCCTGGAATGGTCTGCACAGAGACCCTTAAGATCTTGGGGGCTTCATTCCAGAGCCAGGACAACTAGACCATAAACTGGACTGTGAGGAATGAATGCCAAGGTGAACGCGAAGCTGGGGCTGTGGAAGACGTGATCGCTGACCCTCACGGGGACAGTGATGGTGTTGAAAGCACTGGCGGGCAGTTTCAGACAAGCGCTGCAAAGAATGGACTTCAAGTTCGTCTGTGGGTGCGAGGCATGAGTACGTCACAAGAAACAAGATGTCAAGAAAGATGGGAGAGATATTACCGCATTTTCCCCTGAAACTCAACTGTATCCTTTTCTACAACATCCGTCGGACGTTGTGGGATCCGATCAGCCAAAATCACCAGAATTTTGTCAGGCTCTGGTTCTCCATCCCAATGAGGCACCTGATCCAGTGGACAAACACTGAACCAAAAGCGGAAAAGCAACCAGAGACCTACACCCATGCC